TACTAGTAGTCAGAATGTACTATTAAACTGCTATGCTCTTGTAGAATTCATCTTAATCCTAGTACTGAGTTTACAACATATTCTTACTATTTTGGTATTTAATTTAAGTTCTATCAAGCTGCTATTTCAAATAGCCTAAAAAAGTAGATCAAAATTATACATCTCTGATTTACATATTTACTAGCATGTATCCTTTCTTTTAAAATCTAGAAATTCTGGCAGCCTGGTTGGTTTATCTAGTTCCTTCTTAAAGACCAACATATTTGCCTAGTTTTATAAGTTTTAGCTTTGTTTCATAAGTTTAGTCTTTATAATAACACTATTGAAAATTCAAATTACCTTTCTATTTGGGTTTTCCAAGTAGGCTTTCATCTTTCTACCTGGTTCCTATAATTTATATGGCATAAGAACTTATCTTGAATTTATACTGCTCAGTATCAATTTGTATTTCTTTGTACAATGTTATATGAATGCCTAGACCTTTCAGTCATGCTAGTATGATACTAGTTACAAGTATCTTATCCCAATCAATTACAAAAAACAGTTAACTGTAATATAAAAAGAATTAAAAATTTTCATTGTCACTAGAATTTGAATTCTAAATCTGTCACTTAGAGGTTAACAACATATTCATTTCACTAGGTCATTACATCACTATTAAAGCCTTCTGTATTTTATACTTATAATTAATTTTATACTGAGGTTGGTGACTTAGTAAAGTGGATAAGTTGTCATATCCCCAAGTGGTAGGTTGTAAGTTTAAAACCCACTGATAGCAAAATTTGGATAATCACCTATGTAATATATAGATAGTATTATGGTAACAGCATTCTGTCGATCAGTTGAGATAAGATACCTGTAACTATTAGTCACATTAGCATGACTGGCAGGTCTGGGGCATCTGTGTAATCTGTTATACAAAAAATGCAAACTGGTACTGGGTGATGCAAACCTAAAATAAGTCCTTAGGCCATATAAATCTGTAAAACTAAAAAGCCAAAGCCCACTTAGAAATTCTAAGCAAAAAGATAATACAGATCTTTGATGGTACTACTGTAAAAACTAGATCTAAGAAATGGATACCAATATAAAAAATTTGGGCAGATAAGAACCTCAGATGAAAGATACACTAATCAGACTACCAGATTTCAGATCAGAAGAAAAGAATATTAGGCTAGCCTCAATATACCAAGAACAGGTTACAGTACTATCAGGCTATCTGGATTGGAAGTCTGGATTCAAAACAGAGGTATACTAAAAGTACTAGGGATATGCTATAAAGTTAGTACTAGGGTCTGGGTAAACTCTGTAAGAATAGCCCATGTTAGTGTTCTAAGAGTGAATAGATAGTTAACAATAGAAGACCTCTTGCACTTTACTGACAGATAATATACTCTGAAATGTATAACAGTCTGAAAACTAGTATAAAAAAGGTAGATAACCATACTGCTCAGATGATATATCAGTTAGATATATATGAAGAGTAAGTTGAAGATTCCAATATGACAGGGCAGATGATTAAAGGGTTTAAATAGATAATCTCCTAATAGATTATAGATATGGCATTTAGTGTAAAACCTTAGAGCATACTACTAAAATAGGCAACCAAAAGTTGCACATATGATTAGCTATACTCTCATCTCTGTAAAAATAGTTGTAATAGCTAACCCAATATAAGTCGATAAAATATTGTCACAAGTATAGTCTTAAAAAAAAAAAAAAAAAAAAAAATTAATCTGATACTGTTTTGGTCTAGACTAGTACTTCTAATTAAAACTAATTATTAAAATACTATAATCTTATAAAGTTTACCCAAACTTTAGTATCTATCTTTTTAATACTTTTTTTATTATTTATTACTAACTATACTCAGAATTAACAAAATTTTTCAGATTATCAATTTAGATAATTTAACATAATATACTTATATATTCTTTTCTTTTAATGATTTTAGTAGTTTAGTTAGTATATATACTTCTTTTATATACTTGTTATCCAGTTTATTTACTTATTTTTTTAATATATTTTATAGTTTTTTATTAGTTTAACAGTAATGTTAAAAGTTTATACTATGCTTTACTCAAGATTTTTAAGCAAATTTCTAATTTTTTAGTTACTTTACTTTCTGTGTTCAGTAGTCTTATAGTAGATTTGTATCAAAATCTTATATAATACCAGTTATTATATTTTTTTATATATGTATAATATTACAATTTATATAAATAAGAGATGTAGTAACCTAGTAAAGTAAATAGATTATTAACTCCCAAGTGGCAGTTCTAGAGTTTAAATCCCAATGATGGTGAAAATTTGCAATTCTTTCTGTATTATAGCTAACTGTCTTCTGTGATTAGTTGGAATATGATACTTGTAATCTGTATTATATTAGCATGACTAAAAGGTCTAGGCACTTGTACAATGTTGTATAAGAAAACACAAACTGGTACTAAGCAGTGTGAACTCAAGATACAGAAACCAGATAGAAAGATGAAAGCCTACTTGGAAGACCTGAGTAGAGAGGTAACTTGAACCTTTGATAGTGCTACTGTAAAGACTAGACTTATAAAACAGAGCTAGAACTTGTGAAACTGGACAAATGTGCCAGTCTTTGAGAAGTAACCAGATGAACCAACCAGGCTGTCAGAATTTTCAGGTTTTGAAGAAAAAGGATACATGCTGGCAAATATGTAAACCAGAAGTATGGTCTCATCCTACCTTTCCAGACTATCTGGAATGGCAGCTTGATAAAATTTAAATTGAATACCAAAATAGTAAAGATATGTTGTGAAGTCAGTACTGAAGTTGGTGTGAACTCCACAAGAGCATAATGCTTTAATAGTACATTCTGATTGCCAGTATTGGTCTCAGCCATAGTGATACCAGGTCAGCTGTAAGAATGAGATACAGAAGATTCTGAAAGATTTAGTACAAGGTCAAAGGTTTTTTATATGAGTGAACTGCTTTAAAGACTTAGTAACTATGACATATTTTTACCAGCATTGGCTGGAGTTATTGGTAGGCAGAGGTAGGTGGGTAGATACAGAAACAGAGTAGTTAAATAGAAAACCTACAAGTAGGTTCCAGGTATAGCAGCTAGTATAGAACCTTCAGATGAACTACTTAAATTAGACAATAATTAAAGTTGTATGAGTGACTAGTTGTATACTCTCTTCATGGTTGCTTCCTGTGGTTGTAATGCAACCATTAGCCAAATATATTATCAATAAAATTCTGGGTTGTAAGTCTCACCTTAATATTTAAAAAAAAATAAAACAATTTACATAAATATTTGAGCTTTTATTTAAAATAGTATAATTTAAAGTTACAAATATATTAATCCAACTAATCATAAAACAGTTGTTGTAATATAAATATAATTTTCAAAATTTGTTATTTGTAAAATTTGAATACTAGATCTACTACTTAAAGATTAATAATCTATTCACTTTACTAAGTTATCATACCTTATATTTTTAAAATTTTTTAAAATATTTTAAATTATAAATTATTTTTAAAATATAAAAGTTAAAATTTTTAAATTTATAATAATAAATTACTAAATATAGGGAGTGGCTAAAGACAGATATATTACAAGATTTTCTGATAATCAACAATTATTAGGTAATCTATTTAATGTTAAATTTTTTACTACAAAATTTTTTTTGAAAGTGAATCAAATTTTTTTTAGAAAAAAAAAGTGATCAAATTTTTTTAAGGTGATATAATTTTTTTAAAAGCAAACTAATTTTTTTTTTTAAAAAAAGTACCAATTTTTTTTTTTTAAAAAAAAAATAAACTAATTTTTTTTTGAATAATTAAATAATTAAATATAAAAATAATAGATAATAGATAATCTGAATTTTTACTATTACTATCACTATTACTATAAATAAGAGATCATCTCTTAATTTTTATTTATAAAAATTTACACTGCTATCTGATTTGTTTTATAAAAATAAATTAATAAAATGGATATTAAGATGAAAGAATTAAATAATCTAAACAAGATTTTAGAAGCAACTAAAAATAATATGATATTTTTAGAAATGTGCAAAAGTAATAAAGAGAACTTGGAAACATTCATGACATATAATAGTAAAGCTTTATTTTAGAAATAAATTAATTTTATATTTACTTATATAAAATAAATAGACTACATCTTATAAACCTCCTACAAATATTAATATTAAGTCATATATATTATTACAATTTATCTTTAATTAAAGACATGTTCTTCTTTTTAATGTTAAACATTTATTTAAGGTTTCAATATAGGACTTTAATAATAAATAGTAGCCTTTTGTTGATAATATTTGGACTAGATTTAGTTCTAGAAACTATAACAATAGTAATAAGATAACTATAATTATATGTTGTTTTACTAAACACAATTCATCGAGTACACATAAAGAAGAATTACTAAGTAAAAAAGATAAAAAACTAAAATTTGTTTATCAAATTTATGCTAAACAAAAATTAGAGGTTTAAGGTTAGTTATAGAGCAAAAGATCCTTATTAAATAATTTCAAGATAGCTTTAATTATGCTTATACTATTAAAAAAAGTAAGAAATTAAAATGCTTTTAGGTCATCTAAAGCTTAGTAGAAAAGGAAGCAGTTAAAAATTACCTCTACTGGTAATTGTCAATGCAATTAAAAAGTATGCTACTAAGAAGTTTGATCTTGAAGATAGTATAAAAGAATTGTAATAAAAAAAGGTTTATAATATTAAATATAAAGTTCACAAACTACAAAACACATTTTTTACTGATAATATAAATATAGAGTTAGACATTAAAGAATCTGCTACTTTTTTCAAAAGTAAAGAGTATTAAATAGAATATTATAAAGTTTTTTATTGTTTAACTTATGATTTAGTTTTTGTATACCCTGGCCAGCTAGAAAAGCTTCAACAATTTAAATAATTAACATTAATAAACTCTATGCATAAAACTAACAAGTATGATTGGTGCTTATTTACATTATATATTTGGAACAATCATGGCTCTTGGGATGTTAGAACATACTTCTATGTAAGTAATAAAAATAGTGAAACTGTTATGAAGGCTTTGTGAATAATCTGATAATTTAAAAGTTTTTGAAAGCCATGATATTTTCTTATTACCAAAGTAATATTAAAGCTAATGCTATTTCTAAAGCTTTCTTAGAGTTGTTTAAAGATAAGCAAAAATGCAGCATTATTTTTTGTACTATTTATGTAATGCACACATGGATGACTAAAATTTATAATACAAAGACTTAAAGTAAAATAATTCTGGCAATACATAAAATAACAAAAATTGGCTATAATAAATTAATTAAAAAAGTAATTGATAAATGCCAAGTTTTTGCTATTAAACAATAGATTAAATAAAATTATGCCAAAAATACAAATTAATAGGCTTTTTGGACCTACCAACATTCCTTCTGCTTTTACAAATAACCTTAACAAATGCTATTGAGTTCTATCATAGCAAATTAAAAAAAATAACAGTTTCACATTATGGATTAATAGGTAGTCATTCAAAAAATAATTTATTTTGAAGTTTTTTTTTCTTTTTTTTTGTTTTTATTTTTTTTATTTTATTTTTTTTTATTTTATATATTTGCATTAAAAAATCATATATATGTATTTATTATATTATAATATATAATAGATAGAAGAATCACTTGCAAATTTAAACAATCATTCAAAATCACCTTAAATTTAAATTAATTTGAACAATTTAAATTGTTAATTTATAATAATAAATTAATTGTATAATAAATTAAATATAATTTTTAATTTTATTTTTTAAATAGGCACTTGTTATAAAATAATTGATTTTAATATAAAAAAATAATCAGATGCAGAATATGTAGCATTTGAATTTTATACCAAACAAATTTTTGTTAGCAATATTGATTATAAAGTTCTTACTTAAGTTTATAAGTTTTCATTTCCTCTTTAGCAATTAATAATTAATGAAGTTTATACAGTTAAAAAAAGAATAAAAAAAAGCAAAAAAGTGCCTAGTTTGATCTCTCTGAAGTGTGATTGTCTTTTTTTTTATTAGTACCTACTACCCTGTTAGCATATCTTTTATGATCATTTATACAGAAAAAAACAACTGACAATTAGTGTTTAGAAAAAATTTCAACAAATTTTTATAAAAAATGAACTTGAAGTTTACATAACTCATAAATTAATAGAAGTAGAATTGCTCCAAAAAACAGAGATAAAGAAGGTTGCAAAAAATCCATATTCAACAGTATATAAATTAATTAAAAAAACATATAATGTATATTGGAGAATCAAAGAAGAAGAAAATACAGAACAAAAGTTTAAATTTATTGAAACATTAAAATCTTTATTAGAATTTATTATAAATGAGTAAAAGAAAAAAATTCCAATTATATATTTTTAAATGCTATTCTTGTATATTAGATTTATACAATTTTATTAAATAAAATATAATATACAGATTAAATCCAAGCATGAATGCTTATAAAAATATTAAGAAAACCAAACTAAATCTAATAAAATTTTAGATAGTCGATAAAACAAGATTTATTTAATAATATTTGCAATATTGTATTTGCAGAATCAATGAATTAATAAAAAGTTAAATATTATTAAATTACTATTTTTTTGCTTCTAGAAAGAGTAGAAAAAAATTAAGTATAATAAAATTTTATATTCTATAATTATCTAATAGTCAATGATTATTAGAAAATCTTGTAATATATCTAACTTTAGCTGACCTTTAAATATAATAATATAATATAACTAATAATTCTTTTAATTTCTATTATCTGATTATATAGAAATAAATTGAATATTATAATTTTAATTATATTTTTTAAACTAACTTTTTACTATTAACTTTATATTATTTAAACTTTCTAACTTTATTATGTTTAAAACTTTTATTTATTTTTTTTAGTGTTAAGATAACCTTTTAGGTCTTTTGACTTTATTTAACAATAGTAAATATAGTTCAATAAACTACTACAAAAAGAGTATACAATTGGCTATATATATAACTTTTCTATATTATCTATTTAAGGAGTTTGTTCAAAAGGTTCTTACCAATTGCTATACCTAATACTCTGTTTGGATATTCTACTTTAAACTTTCTGAACCTGCAAATCTGTTAACTTCTCTGAGTTATATCTGATACCCAGATCATCATCTCAAACTTAGGACTAATTTATTCTTAAGATAAACCTTTCAAAGCCTTCTGTACTTATTTTTACAGCTAACCTAGATATTGTTATAGCAGAACCAATACTTGCAATCAGGACTTAACTATTAAACCACTATGTTTTTATAGAGTTCACTTAGATTTTAGCATTTACTTTATAACATAACTCCAGTACTTTAGTATACTTTTGTTTTTTTACTTGCCTTTTTACCAAACTTTCAATTCAAATAGCCTGTATAAGACTATAACCAGTTTATTGATATATTAGGTCAACCTAATATTCTTTTCCTTTAGTTCATTTCAGTAGCCTGATTGGTAATATCTTTAAGACTTCCAATCTGAAGGTTCTTGCCCATTTGGCTACTATAACTGGATACTATGACCTTGGTATTTGTTTCTCTGAGCTAGCCTTTACAGTAGGGCTGTTAAAGATTCAGCTACTTCTCTATTTAGATCTTTTTAAATAGATTTCTTGTTACTCAATTTTAACAGATTTATATGATTACAAGAACTTATCTAGTGTTTGCACTGCCTGATTACTGGTTTGCATTTTTTTATGCAACTACAGACCTTGTTCTAAAGAACAATATTACATAACTGTTATATAAATGCTTTATGACCTGCCAGTTATGCTGATATGATCATCATTACAGGTATTCTAATCTAATTATTAGTAATAGTTGTTGTAATATAAATATTATATAGGTGATTATCTAAATTTTTAGCATCAATAAGATTTGATCACCCAACCTACCACTTGAAGAATTGACAACCTGACCACTTTACTAGGTTGTCACACCTTTCATTTAAGACTTTTATTATTTTTTTATTTATATATTTTATTATTTTTGTTTTATAATTATAAATAAACTTTATATTTATATAATTTAAATAAAATATTGATAAATTACACTACTGGTGTTCAATACCATATTTCAATTTAGCCAATTAAATTATTAATCATTCAATTTGTATAGCAATCAATTGTAAACAAAGATTATAAACAAAAATATATAAACAAAAAATAAAATATTGAAATATTGTAAGAAAAATTAAAAAATATTTTAAAATTTTTTTGTTTATATGTAAAATTTTATGCTAAACATTTTTACTTAGAAGCCAAAAAATAATTTACTTAATAAATTTTGAGATATGATCAAAAAACTGAAGAAAAAACAAAAAATTATAAATATTATAAAATTTTACTAAAATAATTATATTTTGGCTTCTAAGAAAAAATATTTAAAATAAACATTTATATATAATTACAACATTTTTTAAAAAAATTTATTAATATTATAAGTTATTATTAAAATTAAAAACCTGCTAACTTGTTAACTCAAAAATAATTTACAAACTAACTAATCATAATTAAGCAATCTTCATACTGATATTAAACACTATAGATGTAATATATATTTATTGTTTAAATACTTCAATAGTTTTTAAACTTTTTTGTATATTTATTTCTATATACTTATTTATTTTATTTGTCTGTTATATATTTTATTTTTATTTAATTTATATATGCTATATTTATTTATTTATTATTTATTTTATTTAATAATCATATATTGTTATTTGTTATTTTTTAGAATTAACAATGATTTTTTAAAAATTTTAAAATATTTAATATTTAAGAAAGAAACTATTATTGTAGTTTTTGTTTGCTTTTAATACTATCTTTGTTATATTTATATATTTGACTAGTTTGCTATTTTTTTTTAATTAGTTTTTATATATTTTTTATGCTATTTATTAAGATATTTATAATATTGTGTTTTGTCTAAATTTGTATTAAAGAATTAGCAAAAAATATTAAAAAATAATATATAGGCTAGATGTTGCAAAAAGGAACCAATTTAACAATTTTTTCAAAAGTTGTTTTTTTACATAAATCAATTTAGAATAAGATTAGATTTATTTTATTTAAAATACAAAAGTTATTATATTAATAAAATTTTGCTATATTGCTCTTCAAAGTTTGCATATTTCTATGATTTATTATAAGATTTATAATATAAAAATTGATTTTTTAAAGATCTTTTATTTTATTAATTTGGTCCCTTTTTGCAGCACCTAGCCTATATATATAATTTTTTTTTTTACAATTTAAATAGTTATGCTAGTACTTTATTAAAATTTTTAGAATTACTATTGCAATTACATAGATGTACCTAACAACTAAGCCTAGCATTATCTAATTATTCTAATAGTATCTAAGTGCAACTTGCTGCATTATTTTAAGCAAAAGTAAGCAGCTTGTCTAACTACTTAAAGTTCATAATAAAAGGGTTTTTTCTTTTATGACAAGCTTCAAAATTGTCTTTCTAGTTTTATCTTTAATTCTCTTTTTTTTTGCTTTCTTCTTTTTTCTTCTATTTCTTGCTAACTAGTCTTTTTTTTCTTGTTTAGACTCTTTTTTTTTTCTTTTTTTTTTTATTCTGCTAATTATTTCTATTTTTTTTTCTTATACTTTAACTTTTTTATATCATATTCTTCAAAATTGTTTATAAAAAGTGTTTTAGGCTGTTTTTGCTAATATATTTACAAATTGTTGTCTTGTTCTTATATTTAGAAGTTGTGCTAATTTGTTTTAAGTTGTTTTTGAAATTATGCTCTTAATTTTTTTTTTTTTTTTAAAAAAAAAAAGCAATCTTGCCTGAATGTCTTTATTATTATTAGTAATATAAGATTATATATAATATATAAGGTATATTAACAAAAAAATAATTAGTCATATATATAACTTTAGTCATTATCTAATTAAGAGTTCTAATTATAAGTTACTTACTAGATGCTATACCTGAGACTTCCTTGTGGGTTTTCTATTTAAACTTTCTGATTTTCAACACTTACTGCATATATATATAATATATATCACTTTTATTATAACAGAACAGGTTAAAGCTATTTAATTACTATTTATATCTAAGTACCACCTTATTGGATATTACTAAGTATTCATAGTCTTTCAAATTTATCCTCAATGCAAACTTACTAAGTATGATACTAAGATTACCTCTTAGATTTATTCAATTTTAGTAAATCCTATATCTACTAGAACTATTTTGATGCCAAAAGTATTCAAATTTTGATAAGTTCATTTCTTTTTTATAGTTTTCTTTTATGTTTACCATATCATCTGCTAGTTTGCCTTTTTTCTATTTCTAATATATTTATCACTTTTCTTACATCAAGTGCTAACTCTTTATATTGGAAAACTTCTTTTTAAAACTTTCTTATATATCGATCTTCTAATCATATAAACTTAG